CCGAGTGAGTTGCGCCTTGCCTGCCGGGCCGTGGAAGAGTAATCAAACATCTGTAGCCAATTAGACGAGGCAGAATTACTGATTGCCCATGAGTGTAGGCGCCAGCGAATCGATAATACGCAGGCGAAAGCAGAGTCCGTGGCAGGCTCCTACAGGTTTATGGATCTAGATATGCGCATGACGCCGCATTTCCAAACATCCAATCACTGTGCCAAAATTGCAAGGAGGGCTATTGGCATCCTAAGGGCAATCAGAAGATCCTTCCATTGGTCTGACAAGGACTTATTTGGGCGCGTATTTTTAACATTTTTCCGGCCGGTGTAAAAATATTACGCTCAGGCGTGTTGTCGCTTGAAGAAGCAAGATTACGCTCTGCTGTTAAAAATTCAACGAAGGTCGATCAAGTTAGTCAGCGACTTGGAATGCTTACTATATGTTGCCGTTCTTTTTAGTGTTCGATGAAAAAAGTATTAATCCCCTTTGGTTTTTGACCGCTTTCGTCCACGATTCTTTCTCCTAGACACCTGACATTATGATCATAATAGTCATTTAGTTTGTAGCTATGCATCCCCGGAGTTCTGGTCTCGACAGTGTGATGTCAAGGGCTCCCTTAGCTTGTCAGACTTCCCCGATTGCTCATGTTAACTATTATCCCAAAGTTCTCCCTACTTAACTTTTATACCCACTCGTGAGACTGCCTTTATTTTTCGTTTTAATCCCAGAAGAAACCTTCACTATGCTTCCATACCTCACGATACTGCTCTCGTTTTTAGACGTTCATTGAGAATAAGGGATTTTTACTTATTTTCTCACTGCTCCTTTTAGGTTCACAGTTTTCTTAAATGACAGATTTTGCTTAAAACGATACTTTATACTGGAGGAGAAATCGGCGGCTGACCTGCTAACTAAAGGCCCAGGCAAGTTCTCTATCAATTGTGTGCAGCGGCGGGCCGTAGCTGCGAGGGATGACTTCATAAATTGGTGTCCCCGTATTCATCGTGCACGTTTTTGCATATGCCTCTTTTGTATATACCCGCTTCTTTGTTAAATGAAAATCAATCTGTGATCGTTATTTATTTCAAGTCGA